ACGGTTTCAATCCTAGAGTGTAAGGCGATCATGGCAGGTTAGAATATTAGGAGCCCACTGATATGGTCGATTTGGACCATTTTTCAGACACCTGCATGCTTGCATCAATCACTGATGCTGTTACATCGGAGTTTGGCATAAGTTTTCATGGTACTACTGACCCTTTTCTTAATCGAATCACGGTAATCAAGTATGAAAGAAACGCTTTATGTGTTATAGTGCCGTCTAGTAAGAAGTATAGCTTCGACTATCGTTATTAATGTTAGTGATGCAACGATGACGATTACCATAGGTATGGTTACGAGTTCACTACGTGAACCATTGGTACGGTTATTGTTACAACTAAGAAAACTGCAACTACGATTTCAGGACCAATTATGATATCCATCGGTACAGTTATCAGTCATATAAGACTTTTGTGAAACACAGTGTGCCAATAATGTATGGACATCCTTTATTGTTCACATATCAACGTGTCCATTTCTCTTTAGTATCCTCTGAGACTGTTCTACAGAAAGGAGGAATAATTTTTTATCTGTGTTATACAATATGTCCTTTTCAATCAGTGTTGTATAATCTAAACTATCATCAATCTTTCTGGTCTTCTTCTTAAGGTTATCCGTATATCTTTGCGTAACACGGTTACATCTTTAAAGGTAATTAGTGCAATGCGATTATGCCTATCATATCTTTTTCTGTTCTTCTCTCTCTTTTGTGTGCGCGTATATAAAGCGTGTGCTTTGTGTTGTAATGCAGAACTGGAACGATGTAGAACTGGAAAAATGTAGAATTGGAAAAGTGTAGAACGTTAACATCATGTACACCGAGGATAGCGGTAACGCTACTCTTCCAGTTTCTCTTTGTGATCACAAATAAAATAAAGGCTGCAGCAGTAACAAATTAACTATCCACCTTATAACATCAATGAATAATATTAAAACTTTGTTACTCGCAGTATTTTCTAAGACACTAATGAATTCCTGTGAAAACTAAAGAAAGATAATCATGATCAGAAAATCGGAATCTGAGGTCAAATTTTGAAAATGTTTAAGTTGACTTTGTACGCTAACGAAAGGTTTTCTAAGAAGATGCTGATACTTAGTAAACAGTGACGAAAGTAAATCGGTTTCCAGGGACTCGAATATGATATCAATTTATCAAGGCTCTGCATTTCAATTATTAATCAAATGATTTATTGATGAATGCTATAGTTTTCTTAAGTATTAGAGTCGAATGCGTTAAGTTGAATTTCCCTTCATCAATCCATCGAGGGAATAGTTACTTTCATAATAAACACTCACTTAATCTAAAAACTTCAGTTTAAAATTTTCAAAGACTGACTTTGAATTCAGACTCTCCGGTCCCAGTTTACTTCGTCAACCTTTATAAAAACCTCATTTTCTTAACAGTGCTGTTTTTCGCGACACCAGTTTTGACCTAATAACTGTACCTAGGAGGACCGCAGTTGGACCGGTAACTGTAAGTGCGGTTATCGAAATCGGACTATTAGCCATACCCACGATACTCGTAGTTTGGCTACTAACGGTAGAAACAGTTATCGTATTTAGACCAGTATCCGTAGGTATGCTTATCGTAGCTAGACCGGTGACCGTAGGTATGGCCAGATAATCTCGCTGATAACTATCAATGCGGTATCATAGTTGGACTGGTAACCGTAGATACGTTTATCGTAGTTGCATCAATAGCTTTACTTACGGTAATCGTAGCTAGGCGAGTAACCGTAACTTAGATGATAGTAGTTAGACTGGTAAGCGTACATGTGGCTATTGTAGTTGGATTGATTACGGTAGTCTCGGTGATGGTAGTTAGATCTGTAACCGTAGGTACAGTGATCTTAGGTGGACCAGTAACCATTGGTACGGTTATCGTGATTGGATCGAAAAACCTAGGTACAATGACTGTAGCTGTATCGGTAACTGTAAGTATAGTTATCGGCTTCGACCGGCGAAATGACCTTCACCGTTGTATTTCTAGTCAATATCAATACCCTCCATTTAGAACTACGAAAATCTGCGATGATAACCGGTTTCCGCTATTACTCAAACAACATAAGACTCAATACATCCAGCAGTACTAATATGCCAGTCTTCATTATGGCTCTTTATAACCTTATTGGCTTGACTCCCTGCTTTATTCCAAAGTTCTGATTAGTATTTCCCAAAATTAATTAGGACGAGGAATTACTTCTTATCAGAAAGTTAAGTGCTCGAGCTTCTGAGATGTAACGTGTAGGAGAGACACTGAAATACAAAAAAGTGACCGGTGCACCGGTCCCACCGCCTCACCGTACCACCGGTGCACCGTTTACCGGTCTCACCGGTCCACAGGTTCACCGGTCTCACCGTTCCACCGGTTCACCAGTTTCACCGGTTCATCGATTCACCGTACCAACCGGTGAACCGGTGGGCGGTGGCACCGTTAGTGCGGTGGGACGGTGGACGGTGAACCGTCACCAGTGCACCCCTATTTGTACCGCACCCGACTTCAAATCGTGATAGAATCTGATTTCAACTTTAAAACGATCTATTAAACATGACTGATGAATTTAATCGATACTATATCAGAATTCGAGCTATTTTGGGAATGGATTCAAAAACAACCTTCGACGAACTTACAGAAGCATTGAGACCTGATGCTCCATCATATTCAATGGTCAGAAAATGGACGAAACGTTTTCGTGAAGGAAGAGAAGATGTCAGTGATGATCCTCGATCTGGTCGTCCGATTTCGGTACTTACAGATGAAAATATTGAGCGCATTCGACAAGTTATCGAAGATGACCCACACTCAACTTATGATGATATTACAGTTGAGATTGGTCTGTCTCGTGGTACAATAGAACGAATTATTCATGATTGTCTAAAGATGAGAAAATTTACATCACGTTGGGTTGCTCATCAACTCACTGACGAAAAAAACAAGAACGATTTGGATTTTGTCGTCAAAATTTAGAGAAATTCAGAAACGGAACATGGCGGTTATGTGATATTATTACTCGTGATGAGACATGGATTTATCAGAGACAGATTGGTCGAAAGTCAAGCAGTTCTGCCTAGGTTGATGAAAATGAACCACCTTGGACCGTGGTTCATCGGAATAGATCTGAATCTAGAACACTGTTTTGCTTATTCTTTGAATCCACTGGTGCTCTTCTTATACATAAAGTAGATAAAGGGAAGACTATCAATCACAACTGCTATATTAAAAAATTGTCTCATACGTGTTATCAATGAAATAAGAAAAAAAGGCAAATCATCACGCACAAAATATAAAGTGCTTTATAATAATGGTCATCCTCATACTCATCGAGATGTCGTTAATTATTTAACAGAGGAAGTTATCGCAATAATCCCACATCCACCACATTCACTAGATCTTGCAGCGTGTGACTTTTGGCTAAATGATTATAGCAAGAGGAATTTGGCTGATCACACAAACGAAGAATCGCTGACTCACGTGGTTTTCAACGTAGTGAAGAATATTCCAATAAACGAGTTTAAAAAGACTTTCGATAAACTGCTAGAAATGATGGAACTTTGTATAGAAAATAATGATGATTATTTTGAGCATTTAATAAAATAAAACTACGAATATTTTTTTTCTTTTCGTATTCTGGTTTTGTGTTGTCAAGATCTTTTCTTGGTCATAAGTACTATAGATTATATCTAGCAAGATGTTAGAACTAAATCCAAGATAGAGCTGCTCTATAGATTATTAAAGACGAGACGTTATACTATATATTTCCATAATAAAACATTCAATATTTACTATTTTATAAAATTTTAAACATCGTGATTCGAACTTTTGATACATCCTAAGTATTTTCTCTAATAGACCTATATTTTTAGGAACAGTATCACAAGCATTAGAACATGGTTTCAGAATATTTTATATAGTTTTAAGTACGCTGTATTCCATCATGTTGGGCACAAACTATTTGAACCTTTGTATATTTGATATAAAGACTAACTTCACTGCAAACAAGCGAAAACTAGAGACGAATACAAATTTTACCAGTTTTTCCTCGGTTGAACAAAATAATGTATTTTTTTAAATTCTTAGACATACCACTACTGCAAGTAAACCTTAATTATTAAGGTAAATAAAAAACACAACCGAATTGGATCAAGTTTGAATCAGCTTTATTTACTTTATCTGTGGGATTAAGTTATTGATAAAAAGAATCGCTATTTTTTTGACAAAGTGTGAAAAAAGAAAAAAAATCTTTACACGTTCCATTTTAACAGGGATTCTTTCTTAATTATAGAGGGAAAATATAGCTCATCAAGACCTACACGGTGACAACACAAACTTTCTTCTCTCCCAAACTTTTAGAAAAAAATCTCCAAAAATACCTGCTTTTTAACTTATCGTCATTTATTTTTTCCTTCATTATGGCATATCTTCCAATTCCTCATGGCATGTTACGTCTTCGGATTTTGCAATAAAATATTCAATACACTTTTTGTAGAAAATTGAATGGAAAACATTTTGGTAAACAAGATAGTCCGATCAAGTTCATAAAAGAGGAGAGATTTTGAAAATACTAATAGCACAATTATTCCTGGACCACCCATTATTTTCCATAGTTAAATCTGAATAATAAAAAAAATTGATTTGTGCGACCAATATCTATTTATATGCTTTATATACGCATACATATATGAAACAGCAATAAAAAGTAGTTTCATAAAGTATATGATCATTTTGTAACATTAGTTTGTTCGGTTTGAATATTTAGCATAATATTCTTGAGCTATTTTTCATTCAATAAATTTTGCAGATAACAAAGAAAATTATTTTGTCTATTTAGAATAAATGCAACTATAGTACGATTAAACATCAAAAAAATACGATTACTTATTGAAAATGTCTAGTCTGATGATGAATGAATATTCTATAAGACGAAGATCACATATTTTCTGACTTTTTTCTATTTTTTTTTGACAAAATAAAGAAATTACAGGACGAATCCGACTCTAGGCTATATCACTTCCTTGTTCTTCTTTTTTTTCGTTACCTTCTTTATCATGAGAACTGTGAACAAGAATTTTTCTTCGAATTTTTTCATATTCCTTTTCATTTTCTTCATATTGATCATCGTATTGAAATATATCTAAACAAAAGAAGGATAAAGTAAAATATCTCATTGAAAAACTTGTCTTACTAAACATCGGTCCAGACTCACATAAATCATCTAATGTCATCATATGTGTGAATTGAACATTTTCATCAACTAAAGCAAGACCAAGTTGTATAATTGGATTTGCTTTAAATTGATCTTTTCCTATAGCAAATAAAGCTTCAATCATAAATTGTGTATGTTTATTTAATGTTGATTGATGAAGTAATTTCTTTAATGTTGAAAATACAGAATCTAATCCATGTGGACTAACTTGTGATAATTTTTTTCCACACATTTTTAAAAATTCAATCTCTAATTCAACACTATTATCAGTAGGATTTTCAAGTAAAAATACAAGCATTCCTAATGCTAGCATATTATGTAACTAAATAGAAGAAAAAGATATAGTAGAAATTTTTTTGTTCTTTTCCGAAAAATACATACAATATTTTGATTAACAAAATGTCCAATAAATGTTGTTGTTGCTAAACAGTTAGTTTTATCATTTTCTTGATATGTTCGACGAAATGACGATATAAGATATTTAGCAGTTAATTCACCAATTTTTGATAACATTGTATTAATAACAGATACTAATGCAGCATAAACAGGGGTATAAAATGGTGATGCTATTTGTACTCGAATAATTCTATGAGCAAATAAACCACAACTGCGAATAATATTATTATGAAATAATTCACGAATAATTAATGATAAATTTGATGTATTAACGTTATTGAGTTGACAATTAATATTTTTTTTGAAACGTTCCCATGCTGATTGTTGATATTCGATTGTTGATTCATCAATTGATGATGCCTAAAACATGGTATATCAATAAATATATTTTGATAATTTGAAATGATCATACTTGAAAACATCTCAAATGTAGATAATGGTTGATAATACCGATGAGTAGGCAACATTTTCTATCGAACAATTTTGAATGTGAATTTCGACTGTGTTTTGAACGAATATAATATCAATATATTTATTTGTCTTTTAACACATGTGAAACTAGTCAAAAGATGAATGAAAACTTGATTCATAAATAGTTGTAGTTAGTTGTCAATGGTAATACACATTAAAAGAAAGAAGTTTTACCAAACTAAGAGAATATTCAAACACTATCATCATCTATAAACTGTATCTGTCCCTCCCCTTCGATTAGCTGGAGTTTTTTGTAGGATAGGGTGTGGGTGTGGGTGTAGATGCGGGTGTGGGTGTGAATGTGGAAGATGGGTGGGTGTGGACGTGGAAGGCGGGTGGG